CTTATGTTGAATATTCAGCCTTGGATGATCGAACTTTCACAACTCACTGGCACGAATCGTGTTTGATCAAATGCATAAGAAGAACATATAAAACATAGAGTAAGAACAGACTCGAGACTCTAGACAAAGAATTTTATGAGTTCCCCTTTGATCTTAGAAGATCCCGCAAGATGACTCATAAACTGTTTCCTCAAGCAGGAACAACCCTGTGTTACCAACTTCTCAGTCTTCACCTTTATTACCAAAGATACCACTCTCATCTAACTGCATAGCTCACGAGTCCAATAATCCCATTGAACAAAGCTAACCGAGTCTCGTACTCCAACCAAAGCTAAACCAAGCTCATGAACATTGACTTTTTATCAACATTAATTATATGGTTGAAGAAAAACCCAAAGTGAAAAAGAGAGGAAAAATCAAAAATCTTAAGTTTCTTCCCCAAGAAACCTTTACTAATAATTCCATAACAAGCTTTCTTGGAAAAGTGGGTCCAAAAGTACTGAATCATCTCCATACGTAAAATCTTCTTCGGTAGCATCTGACCATGGGGGCATAAATACTTGCCCCTCCAATGATTCGAACAACGCGAAATCGTTATTCGACTCATTGTCAAGATTCGGCAACTCCACGATCTCTCCTAGCTCTTCCGAGAGCGTAGAGGACGAGGACGATGCCTTTTCATTCATCTCAGTCTCACTGCTCGTAAGGGACGGTGGTGTTTTAAAATCCATAAGAGCGGCTTTGGCGGCTGCGGCCTGGATGTCACGCGGGCTAAGCGAGTCTGGCCGTGGCAGAAAATCCGAGAGCTCAGGGAAGTTGAGGATTGCGGAGCTTCCTTTGATGCTCAATGCGGCAACATCGTGCGCACGCGCTGCCATCTCCGCGGTCGGGAAAGTCCCGAGCCAGATTCTTGATTTCTTCCGAGGCTCCCTAATTTCTGAGACCCATTTCCCCCAGCTCCTCATCCGAGCCCCACGATAGACCTTTGTGGTGGTCTCCTTTCTCTTCTTGCTGGATGAACATTCGGTGTCCGAACCATAAGACTCCATTCT